GTCGTCGACGTCGACCAAGAGGAAGAGCCACCGCTGGAGCTGCACCTGCGTGCTTCTCCTGCTCTCCGCGTGGCCCAGCTCCCCCTGCTGCAGCTTGCAGGAGGCCGTCCTCTGGCGTGTTCGCGCAGCCTAGTGGTGGCTCCACGGCAGGGCCGACGAGGAGCTCGTCCAGCGCCGGTGGAGACACCACGGCCTTCACCGGCACCGGCACCGGCACCTGCATTTGCCCGAGGTGGAGGCCGCGGAGCTGCTCGGCCAGCGCGACGGTGAAGGCCTGGTTGCCGCCGAGCATGGCGAAGCGGCCGGCGAGGTCGTTGTTGACGTTGCGGAGCTCGGAGTTCTCGAGGCGGAACGCGGCGGCCTCGCCCGCCGCATCGGTGCGGTGGCTGAGGCAGAGCTCGCCGGCGTCCTGGTACTGGAGCGCGGCGTCCTGGTACTGCAGCGCGGACGGGGGAGCGGAGGAGGCTGCCCGCAGCGAGCACGCTATTCCGCCAGCGTCCATCCGGCCCGGCCGTGGCCAGCTGCATCTTCGACTGCAGCACTGCCCCGGCTCCGCGGCTGCATCTCCGTGGCCTCCGCGCCCGGTGCCGGGGCCGCACGTGGCCTCCGCGCCCGGTGCCGAGGCCGCACGTAGAATGGGACTTGTCACGGCGGCGGATCGACGACGGGTGGCTCTGCTCCTTCCTCGTGCGGCCATGCTTGCTTGTTTCTCCACCCCCTGATGTTCTTGGCCGCCGAGTGCACGTGGTGGGCCTGTGAGGAAAAGAGGAGAGGGAGTGAGGACAGAGGCCGACATGTGGGGTTTTGCATGCAAAAAATAGTGCCGGCGCCCCCGGCTGACCCCAGCTTTTTGGGTTTCTCTTGCGAGCGCCGGCTGTAGTTTTCGCTAATACCAGCGCAAGACGAGCCCGTGGGGGTGTGGCTGGGACCGCTTTTGACCGCCGGCGCTGAAAAAAAGCTCCTGGGGGTCTTCTTGGGGGCCTAGTGTGATGTCTATTTGGTATTACGCCCGGACATTCGGCACGCCTTCATTAAAGGGGATAGAAGTAGCAATAGCGTTGCCAAGATGGTGGCTTCAGACTTATTGATGTATCACCTTGTATGGTCTTTATGAATAATTAATAATAGTAGTCGATAACCCGTGCATTTGCACGGCTAGATTATTTTCTGGTTTTAATTCATAACATTTGTACTAATCATAATTCGTAGAGGCGTGGAATTAGAAAGGAAAAATGTAGTGGTATATGCCCTATTCTTTTAAATAAGCTGCATGAATGTTGCGATGTTGAATGAGAATGGATTGTTATGATGTAAAAACGGTACGCATCATATATAGGATTCAGAAAACACAAAGCTCAAGAAAATATTCCGGCAATGAACTCATGACTTTACATAGATGCTTAATTACTGATTTATATGACACAGCTGGCTGTATCAAACAACGTAAAAATAATCTTCTATAAGTACATCAAATGACTGTAGCTTGGAAAGATGAAGCAACACAAAACCCATATAAGGAAAAATTGCCTTTTGCAGAACAAAGAACTGATTATTTGCAGATATTGTACCTTTGCAGAACATATCGGAAAGACACAACCAAACCTGAGTATACATACAGATTTCTTAGGACTCAAAAACTCATCAATCCATTTTATATGGATCAAAAACCATTAGGGCTTGCTGAACCTAAAAAAGTGGATGGTTGGGCTGGCAATTAGAGACCTAATTTAAAATACCGCAACAGTGTGACTTTAGATGTCGAGTCATCAAATGTTTTGAAAAACTATCATCAGATAATAAAGAGTGATCTAAATTTGCCACCTACGGAACCTTACAAACTTTAAAATTGGTTGTAACGTTATTTTATCTTTGATCATAATGATAGCATTATTCAGTGCGACGTTGGTAATCTTCTTGAAAACTACCTTACAGATATTCCGAATAAAGTCAAAATGGCAAATTAATAAGTAATATATAAACACACAAAAATCTCATTTGTAAGAAAGAGACCAATAATTTTAGTGTGCATAATAGGACGTCAAATTCAAGAATCATGAGATACAATCAGACTTTGAGTGGCTCCATGGTCAAACTAATGTACGATATATGCTCATGGGTGAAGCAAGACAACACAAAGGTAAGAGGAAACAATAATCAGAGCTCAAAAGAAGTGGTAATAATATGTAGGTTAGGATCCAAGCTGATGAATTGTGTATTATGTTGCACTCGCAACCTGGTTTTATGAAGCACAACGTGCCATCGACAGTGCATCAGCTAAATAAATATCCATAACTTATGAAGATGTAGAGCATCTCTAGCAAATACCTGAATTTAGCGACACAAAACTCAATGTAATAGCAAAAACTATGGTATTTTTTTCTATCAATATGCCTGCAGAAACGTCGAGCTAATTATATATTTTTGGACAAAAAGAGCTACTCATAATTACTGTTAGTTTGGTAAGGTATATATACTTAAAGCTCATCTCCCATGTGACCATCCCTCCATATTTCTTAGACTTATGGTTCTTCTTTGTAAAATTAACCTGTTTGCAAAAGTGAAGGAAATGCAAAATCATGAACTGAACTGGAGGTCTAGAATATTTAGAAAAATATATATGATAACGAAAGCATGAGCCAAAAATGCTTCTAAGGCCCTCTCATGAAAATATAAACACATAGTTGATATCTAAAGATCACTAATCTGAATGGTAGCTCCGAACTATGACGACCAACGCATCAGATACAAATGCTTTTAAGGTGCTTATTACATTGTAGCACTACGAAATTATTATAAAGTACAGTGCCACTTTTATTTGCTTTGCAGCAGCTTTGAGGTCACAAACACCCGTATTAGAGTGTGGATAACTTAACAGAAACGTTGACCAAAATACCAGTTGGGCTGACCAGACCAGGCCATATGGAAAGGAGTAATTTCTTCTGAAACTTGCACTTGGCAACATGCATGGGCAGACTACAGCACTACCCCTCATGGTTTTTGGACAAATGAACCTGTGAGTCTGGTCTCTGGTGATCATGGTGTACGCCTGCTGTAATTATAAAAGCAGCACCAGTCTTGTCTCCATGTAATCAACGACCAATTCAAAAATCATAGTTATAATCGGCTCTGCCTTTTCATGAACAGAAAAAACATACAAATATTTTATATGAGAAAGAAGGGAGTAGGAAACATGATTAGATTGTGAGAGGTAATGCTTAGATTGAATCCTGCACATCAATCTACGTACAATCAAATTCATGTACATCAGTGCAGATGACCCATACCTCCACATGTATGTACAATAATCATGACTTGCATTCCGTAATGAACTGGATGGAAGCAGGTTGTGCAAACCATCATGTACGACAGCACTGACTGAAGCTATCCCAGGTTTTCATCATGGTCATGGTGTCGACTGTCGTCAAGACCGCCTTGCCGCTGGAAGCTTGTTGTATTACTTCCTTGGGGCCTAACTCTTCATCTGGCCTAAACTGCAGCATGGACTGGTACAAAAAATTTACTGCTGATGCATTAGTGTGTGCCTTATGGCCATCCATGCTGGCAATTCCGCGCCTGCGCTTCCAACTTCAATCTGATATGCCGACAACAGTGTCCGACACGACTGCATGCATACCCATGACATTGATCATGGCTGGGCACATCATTGAAAAAGAGAGGGAACAGGAGGGCGGCTAGGACATGTAAAACGAAAAATATTAATCAATGGCATTGCATGGCGCCATGGCCGTCCGCCGTTGTAATTCGCCGTCGCATGTTGCAGAGCGCTTGGAGGCAGCAGATGGAATACTACATCGATGGTGTTCTTTTCAACCTGCCTTTTCCTGGACAAAATCAGAACACACAAAGATGCTAATGAACAGCCTTGCCATGGCATAACAGGAATCGACCAGAGGAGGATCAACGAACAGCCTTGCCATGACAAAACAGGAATCGACCGGAGGAGGATCTGAGAGACGTGATTCGCCGCCAGATCAAAATCAGAACACACGGGGAGGCAAACAATCAGCCTTGTCTTGCCATAACAGGAACTGACTGGAGGAGGATTTAGGAGGCAAGATTCGCCGCCCATTGTGAGAGGTAACGCTTAGATTGCATCCTGTAGTGGTGGAATTGACAGAAGAAAATACTGGGGCCAAGGGAAGAGAGGTGATTTGTGGCTACCAAATCAAATCTGAAGGCTAAATTTAGTTTCCTTTGCTGAGTCCTGAGATATTAGAAGAGGGGCTGCCTATGGTAATTTAGTTTCCTTTGCTGAGTCCTGAGATATTAGAAGAGGGGCTGCCTATAGTTCTTGAGAACATGAGATTTTTCTGTTAGGTTAACGAAGATGAAGGAGAGTCGTGCGAGGCTAGGACGCAGGCAAAGAGCATCTTCGATCTGCTTTTTCTAATAGTTATAACGATCTTCAGTTTTTTCTTTTGATAAACTAACAATCTTCAGTTTTTTTATAAACTAAATCTTCAGATCTGCTACATCACACGGCTCATAATTTGGAGTTTATTTTTTTTCAACGTGGGTACTTTGAAGGAGTCATCGAAAGATCTAGACTGTAATAATTTGGCCCCACCAGATTAACGGCTCCTAATTACTGATTAACGTGAGAATTTCTCGGGAGTCTGTAATTAGTAGAGGTATAGATATAAATAGATATAGATAGATAGATAGATAGATAGATAGATAGATATAGATATAGATAGATAGATAGATAGATATAGATGGCTGCATGCATCATCTAGATACATAGGCCGGAGGTACATCCTCCTTTTTTTAAAAATAAAAAAATGTTTGGGCTTTTGTTTAAGATCCGGGGAGCGTCGCGGGCTCAGGGCTGAGGAGTGTGACGCTGCTCGCGAGGGTAATGAATACCACTTAAAAAAAGGGCTTGGTGAATCACTAAAGACACACATATTAATTCGGTCTAATCTGTCCGTGCCTATGCAAACGGCAGGCTCTAGCTGTCCTCAGTCTGCCACCTCCTGCTACTTCAGCCCCTTCTTGTCGTCAGTGGCATTGATGCAGATGATTGAGCCTTGACACGCTTCTCCATTGACCAACATGTCCACAAGAACTCTCGTCACATTCTTCTTCATCCACCTCTTAATAGGCCTTGCGCCATACACCTGCAATACATAGCCCATGCATGCATCGTAAGCGGGACATACAAACGACTAAGCAAATTTGTATGATTTGATTTGGTAAAAATAACATGTACTTACCGTATCGTGAGATTCTGACCAAATGATGTCCAAGGCGGCATCTGTTGCAAACAGAGAGATGCCTTTCTTAGCGGCCATAGCAACGACACTCTTCATCTGGATTTTCACGATCTCCCTCAGTTCGTCATGAGAAAGTGCCTCAAATATCACAATTTCACTCAGTTTGTTGATAAAATCAGGCTTAAGGCGTTTCTCAACCTGTTTCATGAGAAGATCCCACTGGTAAATATGTTGGTCGTGCCCACAGGTACTTTACAAGGGACAGTTTGGGATACACATACCTGTTTCATGAGAAGATCCCGTGCAGTGGCTATGTTTTCTCCAGCCGTTCCAGCTGATAGGTTCTCGGCTCCAAGATTAGAGCTCATGATTATGATAGTGTCCTTGAAATATACGTTCCGATCCTTTCCATCAATCAACGTGCCATCATCGAGGAGTTGAATGAGAACCTTGAAAATTGAGGGATGTGCCTTATCCACCTCGTCAAAAAGAACGACACTATATGGTTGTCTCCTGACTTTCTCGGTAAGTTGTCCATCTTCCTCATAGCTTCAGAAAGTCAAATAGAAAAGTGAGGCACAACAAGGAAGTTTGGGAAAGAAATACAAGTGCAAAGAGTGTACAAGTTAAACCTTCCAAGTCCTCCAACGAGACGCGACACGGATCCACTATCAGCATATTCTGACATGTCAAAGCGGACTAACGTCTTCTCGTTGTCAAAAAGCTTCTCGGCGAGTGCTTTTGCAAGCTCTGTCTTTCCAACACCAATCGGGCCCAAAAAGAGGAATGCACCAATTGGTTGGCCAGATTCGTCAAAGCCGACCCTGGAACGTAGAACTTCTTGCGCAACTAAATTAACTGCTTCATATTGTCCAACAACTCTCTCATGCAATCTGTCTACTAGGTGGCTGAACTTCTCCTCCTCGCGGCCAAGTGCAGTGATCGGAATTTTAGTCCATCAGCCCACAACCTTCATATAACAATAGAACATGTCATGAACCAAATGAAACTTACTCACATGGATACGGTTTGCAAAGAATGCTAATTTACCTGTGCAATATGACATGGACCAACGGTTATCTCCTCCACTGCATTTATAGTGCTAGTTTTCTTATTTTTCACCTTTTTTGGTTGATGCAACTTCACAGCAGTGCATGCCTCGTCCATTAGATCAATTGCTTTGTCAGGAAATTGGCGGCCTGATAACAATAAAAATCCACGATCTCTTCAATATGCAGAAACCTATAGGGAAGTAAATCGAACTAGTTATGAATCACATGACGAACATACCTGTAATATAACGGTCAGCGAGCTGGGCAGCAGAAACAAGAGCGTCGTCCTGAATTATCAGGCCATGGTGATCTTGGTACCGCTGCTTCAACCCCTGCAGGATGGCAAGGGTCGCCTGGACGCTCGGCTCATCGACGTCAACCCTTTGGAACCGTCGCTCCAGTGCCACATCCCTTTCTATGTATTTTCGGTACTCTTTCGACGTGGTAGCACCTATGCAACGGATGCGACCACGGGCCAACGCCAGCTTGAGGATGTTGGCAGCGTCCACAGTGCCGCCTCTGTCACCAGCACCAACAAGCATGTGCATCTCGTCTATGAAGAGGATCAGTTTTCCGGCCGCATCCTCCGCCTACTTGATGGCATTCTTCAAGCGCTGCTCGAACATGCCGCGCCACTGGGTCCCCGCGACCATCGCCCCGACATCGAGCTCCACCACGCGGGCCCCGGCGAGCGCGTCGGGACCATCCCAGCAGCGATGCGCTGGGCCAGGCCTTCGACGATGGCCGTCTTGCCGACACCGGCCGCTCCGACGAGCGCTGCGCAGTTCTTGGTCCGGCGGCAGAGGATGCAGATGATGCGGTCAATCTCGTCGTCGCGGCCGATGACAGGATCAGACGCGCCGGCGGCCAAGGTCTTGAGGGTGCCCGTCTTCGTGGAGGAGGGCTTCATCTCTCTCTCGTACAGCTTCCATGCTGTCCAGGACAAACCAACACTAGTGAGGGCCGATACGCCGATTAGGGCCAGCTCCACCATCCCTTTTATCAAGGCCATGTTTGTCATGGCTTTCGATCGATAAGCTACGTATTCGAAGAAGAGCGGCCTGGTTTGAGCTGGCCTGGCTTTGATCGATTTCTTGCTTTGTTTCTCATGGGGACGGGGGTACACGTATATTTATACAGAGCTGGCGCACCTGGTAAACTACCACTTTTAGTGACTAGTCATACTTGGACACACCTCATGGTGATTGTTCCTAATATAACCGATAACAATGTCGGAGTAGTAGCCAAAATAACAGGAATTGCTATATTTCTCAACCTATCTATCATCTTAAAAGGAAATTTTTATATGGAGCATACATGTGCAAGGAAGTCTTGCCTTGCTGCTACGCCCCAATGGGTTTTCCATTTATAGCAAAAGCACACGCAAGGAGGTGCTGCAGGGGAGCATACCGGCGACGCGCTAGGTTTCCCAAGTAGCCCAAGCAGAGGGACGAGGGGGTTTGAGTGGGCGTCGAGGCTCCGAGTTTCATGATTACGTATTGATGAAAACCACATCAGAATTCATAGAATGACTCACTCCTCGGTCGCTCCCGCAGGTGGCCAGGAGCGAACCCTAGCTGCCGCCAGAGCCACACCCGGTCATCGCCCACCCCCTCGCTGCTGTCGGTAGGACTCGCCGGGCAAAACCCATGTGGCTCGGCGGCGGCGGGGTCCTTTCCGCTCAGGGTGGTGTGGCGCAAGCCGCTCTGGAGGGAGCTCGGGCGCGCTGGTGCTTGGACGGAGCTTGAAAGTACAAATGCAACGAAATGAATGTCTTCCTTGAAGAAGCAACATAGCATTTGACAGTCTGCCTAATTATAATGGTATACTAGGAGTTAATTTGCTTATCCCTAAAAAAGAAAGGTCCATTTGTTAAAATTAGTTGTTGTATAGGGATAGAATTCTCTTTAAATTGTAAACCTATTCTATCTCTTCTTCTGTTTCAACCTCTCCCGAATATCTCTCTGTAAACCGATCGATCTAGTCTCGATCCAAACTTGTAAGCCACGGCATATGTTCCATATAATGCAGTGCGGCCCGAGCAAAGGGTTCTACGCTTCCCATAATATTTGACATGGTAACAGAGCCTCTTCCTCAACAAAAACGCATCTAGCTACCTTCCTCCATCGAGAGCATGTCTACCACCTCCGCCGCCATGTTGCCCAGCACCATGGGTGCACTTTCCACCACCTCCTCCACCACCTTCGCCTCCTCATCCACCACCACCACCGCATCCCTTGGACCACCACCACAGGAGAAGCTGACGAGGGGGAATTTTCTTCTCTGGAAGGCCGTCGTGCTGCCGCAGATCAAAGGAGCACAGATGGAGCATCACCTCGACGAGAAGAGCCCGGCACCGCCGCCCACCCTCACCATCACCAAGGACGGCAAAGAAGAGCAGATCGCCAACTTTGCAAGAACCCTCTGGTATGCACAACAGCAGCAACTTCAAGGATATTTGATGGGCTCTCTTTCCCGCGATATCCTTGCACAGGTCGCCACGTTCCAGACGCCGGCCGAAGTTTGGCGTGCCATTCATGCCATGTTTGCTGCTCAGAGTCAAGCTCAAGCCATAAACACCCGCATCGAGCTGACCAATCTTCAGAAAGGTAATATGACAATGGCTGAGTACCTTGGCAAGATTAAAAGTCTTACAGATGAAGTTGCCTGCACCGCCGCCGCGCTCTCCGATCCGGGGATCATCTCCAAAATTCTCGCCGGACTGGACATGGAATATAATCCCGTCGTCTCGGCGCTTGCTGCTCGGGTGGAACCGATCACGGTTCAGGAGCTCTACAGCCAGCTCCTGAGCTTTGATGCCCGCCTCAGTCTTCTTCACGGCACCAACCTTCGCCAATCTTCTGCCAATGCTGTCTCTCATGGTCGCGGCCGTGGGCGCGGTCACCAGGGGCAGCCCCGCACCGGTGGGCGCGGGCGTGGCCACTTTCAGGGAGATGGCGGCTACAACAGCTCTGGTGGCGGCGGCTACAATAACTCCAGCAACTACACCAACAAACCAGCAGGCGGCGGCTTCAACAACAACTCCGGCCGCCGCTCCTCTTCCTCCCGGGGGCGCCCTCAGTGCCAACTCTGCAAAAAGGCAGGACATGAAGTTCTGGATTGCTGGCATAGGTGTGATGAGGATTTTGTCCCCGACGCACGTCTTGTTGCTGCAGCTATGCGCGAGCAAGGGGGCGATGGTGTGTGGTACGTAGACTCTGGTGCAACCGACCACGTTACTGCTGAACTAGAGCAACTCGCTCTCCGGGAGAAATACCTTGGCAACGATCAGATTCACACTGCAAGTGGTGGAGGTATGGATATTCAACACATCGGTCAAGCTTTTATTAATTCTCCTACTCTTAAACGTGATCTTGTTCTAAACGATGTTCTTCATGTTCCACAAGCTGATAAAAACCTTGCCTCTATGTCTCGCTTAGCCACTGATAATAATGTCTTCTTTGAAACTCACCCTCGTTACTTTTTTATAAAGGATCGGGCAACGAGGGAACTTCTACATCATGATAGATGCATTGGAGGGCTCTACCCCATCTCATCCGGAGTTTTCAACCACAGGCGTCGTCATGCTTATTCTGTCATCAAGCCCTCTTTGGCACGGTGTCATCAAAGATTAGGACACCCATCATCAATCATAGTCAAACAAGTAGTTAATAGAGGCAATTTGCCCTTGTCATATAGTCAATCCAGTGAGTCTGTTTGTGAAGCTTGTCAGTGTGCCAAGAGTCACCAACTCCCTTATCCTAGATCAAACAGTGTGTCTCATGCTCCTTTAGAGCTTATTTACAGTGATGTATGGGGTCATGCTAGAGATTCTTTTGGAAGAAAAAAATATTATGTCAGTTTCATTGATGATTTTAGCAAGTTTACTTGGATTTACTTGTTAAAGCACAAATCTGAAGTTTTTTCTGTGTTTCAAGAATTCCAAAAGCTTGTTGAAAGGCACTTTAACAGGAAAATTTTGGCAGTCCAAAGTGACTGGAAAGGGGAGTATGAAAAGCTCAACTCTTTTTTCCGTAGCATAGGCATTGAACATCATGTCTCTTTCCCTCATGCTCATCAGCAAAACGGCTCTGCTGAGAGAAAACATCGCCACATTGTTGAAGTTGGTCTTTCCCTCCTTGCACATGCCTCCATGCCTCTCAAATATTGGGATGAAGCATTTATCGCAGCCACCTATCTTATCAATCGTCTTCCGAGTAAAGTCATTGGTAATTCCACTCCATTAGAGCGATTATATCATCAAACACCCGATTATAACTCTCATAAATTTTTTGGGTGTGCTTGCTACCCAAATTTGCGTCCATATAATCGCCACAAGCTCGAGTTTCGATCCACCCAATGTGTTTTTCTTGGCTATAGTAATCTCCACAAAGGGTACAAATGCTTAGAGATTGCAACTGGCCGTATCTATATCTCTAGAGACGTTGTTTTTGATGAAACCCTTTTTCCGTTTGCCAAACTTCACCCAAATGCTGGAGCTCTCCTACGTGCTGAAATAGCCCTTCTTCCAGATCACGGGGGAGAATTATATAAAGCTGATCCTGTGAAGAATTCCATAAAAAATTCAGATTCTAGTGATATTTGTGCATATTCGGGTCATGATTTCATGTATGCA